GGTCAGGTATTGATGAGGGAAAAGTGGAGCTATGCAGGAAGGAGTTTGAAGGACTTGTGTTGTGTCCATTGGATCATAACTATGGTGATACCTTTGCATGTTGCCCCATATTCTACGCTGAAGGAATGAGAAAACTGTTTGTAGATAACCCCGGGTTACAAGTTATTGAGCGGTCTGAGGAAGAGGTTCTGGAGGAATGTAGGAAGGGATACTGTGTAGGAAAATTTACTAGGTTAGCTCCCTGGGTAGGAAAAGGAAAACTGGGAAGATCGTACGTCATACCTAAGCATAAGGATACTGATAAATGGAGACCTATATGTCCCTCATGGTCCGAACCTTCACGTAGGGCGTCTAGGATAGTCTCTTCCTGTATTAATGAGTTTCTTAGACGACTGCCACACTGGGGGCACTTTAATTTGCGGAGCACATGTATGTTGCCGAAATTTTTGAATTCGGTCAATAAGGGCATTCAGGACGGGGAAGATCTGTTGGCTGGTAGTTTTGATGTGAAAGAAATGTTTTGTCGACTCCCCCGCCCAGCTATTTTGGCGGTCGTTGAATGGGCTGTTAGTATCTTTGAAGAGAAGGGTTTTTTCAAATGTTTGGTTCACTCTCGGAACAAGTTAGTTCGATTAAGTAAACTTGCAGTAAGTGAGGTGGGATATAAGTCTGTAAATTTCTCCCTGTTAATTAGGTACGTTGCCTTTGATATGGAGAACACATACACAATTGTTATGGGTAAAATTGTGAAGCAGAATCTGGGTATACCTATGGGGAAACCGTCAAGTCCGGCTCTTGCCTCTCTCATGCGTGTCCATAATGAGTTTGTTTTTTTCTCTGGGTAAGGGAATGATGCGGCATTGATGCCCGACTTGTTAAAGGATGTAGGTTGATTGATGACGTATCTATATTCATTAGGTATAACGCAGACAATGATAGGTCTAGGGTCAAGGCACAAGATATTTTGTCCAGATTTAAGGAAACTTGTTATGACAAGCACCTGCTATTGGAGGCTACTTGCGAAGGACTAGAGTGGTCGTACTTGGGCTGCCGTGTTTTAGTGGGAAGTAAACCAGTTAAAGTCTATTGCCAAGCATTGCATAAGAACCAAGATATTCTTCTTAAGGGGGGTGATATTATCTTTCAAAATTTGCAGAACTTCCAATCTTTCTGTAGTAAGAAGCAGAAGATCGCTGTGATATTTTCATTTTTTCATAAGGCATATGCTATGGGAACTTTACCAACTACGGAGACTGCTTTTTTGTTCGCGTTAAAAACGGAGCTCCGCCGCAGTGGGTTTCCAGATGCCTTGTTCGATAAGGTCATTGTGTATTTTAATGTTACGGTTGGAGGGGCCTGGAGTGACTGGGTCAGATGCTTCACCAACTCAGCCTCTTAGGCTGTTATTATTATCTTTGACCCCTTCAAGGTAGCAATGTTTTTGGAAGCTTTCAGACTATCGTTCCTCTCTCGTCTGGCTTAGGCATTCCTAGTTTTCACAAGTCTATTTCTAGCCTTTGCAGTCCTTTCGTAGGGTTCTACTATATAGTCTTGGTTGTCCTCGGTTTCTTCAGCGCTACCCCTGACGATGGCCGGTACACTGGTGGACCGACCGAAACACGTGTAGGGTAATCGCCCATTTGCGCTTCAAGTTACGACATTTTCTACGCTATTACGGCGTTTTCTACGCTACTATCTTTCGATCAGTTTTTTCTGGAAATTTAACGAGCAGACACGCTCGGGGGACTACGCTACTCTTTGTCTCTTCCTCTTCTTCTTCCTCTTCTTCTTTCTTCTTTCCTCCATTTTCTTGTTTGGTTTGACTTTCATGCTTTGCATAGCCATCGTGATGCTTGAGATTACATCTCCACATATATATACATATATATATACCTATATATATATATAAATATATATATAGGGTAACCGACGTTCGGGACGGGCCAAACTCCGGAACGTATGGGACCCCTTGGGGATAAGTTCGGTCGTTCAAGCCGAACGCGGACCCAAAAAAAAAACAAAAAACAAAACAAAACAAGTCATGAAACAAATCTGAAAAACATATATGTTATGGAGAAAACTAAATTAAACAAGATTTGCCTGAGCATTACATCCGAATTCCTTACCAAATTTGAAATAAAAAGAAAATACGAAAAATAAATACTAACAATAAAAATAAATAAAAATAAAAAGAGAATTAAATGTAGTGAGTGCGTGAGCATGTTTTCGACTTTTTTTTTTTTTTTTGGCACAGCTAAATGCCCTGAAAATTTACAGATGTGTACTTCACATAATACAAAACCCACTAAAAAATTTTCAAAAAATAATAAAATTGCTTAGACCCCGAACTAAAGTGAAAACAAAAAGTAAAAAGTGAAAAAAAACGTGGGCGAGCAAGTTTTGACACCGCCATCTTTGGCGATTTTTAATTCTTATTTGGCTGAGCCAAATGACTTCAAAATTTACAGGCATGTACCTCACGTCATAGAGAACTCACAAAAAAAACTTCAGAAAAAAAATAATTATTTTTAGGCCCCGTTCGACCCGTCCCGAACGTCGGTTACCCTGTTTATATCTTTATATATATATATCGTCAAATAGAACTGCCCGGTAAACCGTAGGCAGAGAGGGAGAAGAGGACAACAAACGAGGGGCTGTGACAAATATATATATATATATATATATATACAGGGTCACCAGGCCGTACGTACAGAGGTCCCCGGGCAGACCTCCGTACGTACGGGCGTTCGGGCTCCCGTACGGGGTTCGAACCCGACGGCGTTCGTCCCCCGCCAAAACTTATTTAAGGGCCTAAAAATAATTTTTTTTTTCTGAGTTTGTTTTTGTGACTTCTCTATGACGTGAGGTACATGGCTGTAAATTTTCAAGTCATTTGGTTCAGCCGAATAAGAATTAAGAATCGCGAAAGATGTCGGTGTCAAAACGTGCTCGCCCACGTTTTTTTTCACTTTTTACTTTTTGTTTTCACTATAGTTTGGGGTCTAAACAATTTTAGTTTTTTTTTTAAATTTTTTTGTGGGTTTTGTATTATGTGAAGTACACATATGTAAATTTTCAGGGCATTTATCTATGCCAGAAAAAAAATAAAAATCGCCAAAGATGGTGGTGTCGAAAACATGCTCGTGCACTCACTAAATTTAATTATCTTTGTATTTTTATTTATTTTT